AGAGTCCTGGATGCAAAAGGGTTTAGGGTCTAGGGTTTTAGGGTTTTAGGGTTTTAGGGTTTAGGGTTTAGGGTCTAGGGTTTTAGGGTTTTGAAGTAGAAGGACCGAGGGTTTAGGGTCTATGGCAAAGTCTGGGTTCAAAAAGGGTTTAGGTTTCAGGGTTTAGGGTTTAGGGTGGAGAGAGAGAGAGGGTTTAGGGTGGATGCAAAAAGGGTTTAGGGTGTAGCATCTTGCTCCTGGGACAGTTGAGCAGTGCTTGATGCCTGCAATAATCTGTGTTAACTGCTAACATAGCTTCCCCAGAGTGTTTGGACGGGTATGCCAGACTTCGGTCTCTTTTTGTTGGTATATCTTATCATCTTTGTATCTACGTGGTTTTCATTAAGCTGTTTCTCCTGCGCTCACGAATACTAGACTACCTACCACCATGCTATTGCTGATTGCAACTATGGCCAGCTCCATCGCCTCTGTCACTCTCTGAGCTATTGAATGATGGACGTATAGTACACCTGCTTTTTGGGTTTGATATCGCTGCTGCTGCTGCTGCTGCTGCTGCTGCTGCTGCTGCTGCAGGCATGCTACCAAGCAGGACTGGTTGTGGCGATGATGATGATGATGATGAGGATGATGCCGATGATGATGGTGCGGACGGTGGTGGTGCTGGTACTGGTGCTGGTACTGGTGCTGGTGCCAGTGCCGTAGTGAACACTGTAGTGACTGTAGTGATCTGTAGTGGGTGGCCGTGGTGCTGATGACGTCGGTACACGGTGATCCTGAGGGCGGTGACTGATCTGGTGTATGACGCTGTCTGACTTGTGATCGGAGTGCCACTTGCAGCCGAGCCAGGGCCGCTAGAAAGACTACTGGCGGGGGTGACTCCGTCGGGCTGAGAGCAGTCCAAGAGCAGAGGAAGCAGGCGCGAAGTTCGGATTTTGGCCGTAGGGTTTCGGATCCGATGTTCAGGCATGTCTAACCGGACACACTGGAGGTACTGAAGTTCCTTCCAGAGATTACATGCTCGATCCATTCGTCCACAATTTGTCATCGGCTGTCGACATCTCTGCTTTTCGATGGCTTTTGCTGCGGGCAGGAAGATGAGACGCGCGGGTATTCTACGGGGACCGCACTGAGGGGCGCATTCTTCAACGCTATTTCAGGGTGAGGTCCGAAAATATCTTGATTGCAGTCGTCGAACTGGCAGTTTGGCTTTGGCATTGTTTCGGATCCGAATATCAGTTTGCTGAAACCCTAAAGCGATCATGCGGAGGGAGTCAGTGGTCTGAGCCTACATGCAGAGGTGCAGTCGCATGTAAGGAAGTTCTCTGCACTTCTCTGCCTTGCCATGTCAATGACCCCGCGAAGGAGTGATGACGTCGAGTGCTGCTCCAAATGCTCTCGAGCTGCATTTTGCCGGTAGCCGAAATCCACCGAAAGATCTGGTACATTTTGTGATCACGAGATCGGATGCACCAGACGTGCTCTTTGCAGGTTCTTGCTTCGAGACCATGACATTGAGGGCTATTGACACTTGGACAAGCAAGTGCACCTGACGCGGCTCGTGGTTGTGTCAACTTATGCCGGCATCACACCACGCCAAAGCTCCGGTGCTTCTGCTGACGACCCGCCGTTGCGAACTAAGAACTTCAATGAGCTGGCAAACTCGAAGTTTCCCGGCACCCTGGCAGTTCCAGTGCGTTTCATGTCCTAACTAGAACCATGCATTGCAGCACTCCGCAGCAGAGGAGTGTATGATGGTGCAGAGTGCATCTGTTTGTAGCCAGATGGGCGCAATATGTAGTCAATGTAGTCATACAGCTTTGAGACGCCGAGCCACGCAGACTGGACCAAGACAGACCCGGAGCGAGTCAAACCAAGCACGCTGCCAGGCAAGGTGTGGAACGAAGTGCCCATTGCCGACCAGGCAAAGCAAGATCCTTTTAACAGCATGCCGCGTGCATTGCTAGCGACTGTAAGTACCGCGTGGGAGTGATGTCGCTGCACCTTCACAGGTGGAGTTGCTGAGGGATGCGCTTAAAGCGCGGATATACGCCCCTTGGCTGTGGACTGGTGCCGGGGTTTTTAGGAGGCATTCGGCATGGTGGCTCACCCTGGCAAAAGAGACAGCCCATCAATTCATGCCAGAAGGCTCACCGGTGTTTACGGATAATTATCTCCGCAGAAGTCCGATTGTGTGCTCAGGTCATAGATCCCCACTCCACCTACATGAGACTTTGGGACTTTATACTCGCTGCTTGGCTTGACCAGATGAAGTGCCTGTGAAGTGGTTGAGAAGAACGTGGCCTCACTCGCGGTTTCAGTGGAGTCACAGAAGCAAGTCTTGAAAACATCGCAGGCATCCCGGAACTTGGGGAAACATGGCTGAGGTCTTCTGTTTGGTTTACACTGCGCTTGTCACACCCTACGAAATCGCGTTCATCCCTGACCGCGACAGTATTCTGCTCGTGACTTGGATGCAGGCCCTTTAGGACTTTAGGAGTTTCTGGCCATGCAGCGATGCCAGCGTTCGATGTCATCGGGGCATAGATGTTGCAAGGCCGGTGTTTCAGCCGAACAGCCACTGCTTAGGTTATCAATCGAATAGTCCGCGCCTCAGTGGAGCCAAGCCTTGCTCCTACTTCCCTAGCAAGATCCTTCCGAGAAGTCTCGAGCATCGTTTGCACTGGGATTTTGCTGTTGCTTGAAACAGGTTGACATTGTGTTCATCAAGGACATGGCAGCTTGTTTGCATTGGCTGGGGCTGGAAACAGAGTCTCGTGCACTCACGTAGCTGACGTAGCTGTCCCATTCGCTCCCGAAGCTGCTGGGCCACCCAGATCATGCAGTTTTTCATGAAAGTGGAGCGCAACACAAGGCCGCCCAGTCTGCATCTGGTTGTTTGCCTCACTTCTTCAACATGTGCGGAAGTGGAAGTTAGCGCTTCCTGAGCACCCAATCGCCGAACCTGATCGCAGGCAAGGGAAGATCTGGGTGCGGGATCGCCGCAAAGTGGCGCTGCTGTACGTGAAAACCTGGTTTCTGTGCCCTGGCTCGGTACCGGTTTGGTACAGTGATGAGGTAGTTGGGCTTGAGGGGTTGGGAATTCGATCCAGCTGCAGTCCATGATCTTCCGGCTAGTTGAAGCAGAACGTGTTCTGAGCATGACCGCCGAAGAAAGAATCAGTATATTATAGCATATTCTATACTTGAACATCTCTTTAACGAGTTAATTTTTTTAGAACCACTTGTGGACTTGTGGTTGTGGCACCTTGTTGGTGACGGCCCTACGGAGACTCGCAGTCCTGGAGATACTTCCCACATTTGAAGCCCAAAGCGGTTTGTCTTATTTTGCTACCTGCCTCAGGATAGACTTGGCTTCTGTGCTTCCCTACGATGACTTCACAGACATGCTGCAAGAGAGCGCTGATGGCCACCCGGCTAGACACGTGGCACCCACCACAATATTGCGACAACGTGGGTGGTAAAGTGTCCCCATGTCACAGTTCCCTGCACCGCCATGGCCGAGTCAAAAGCAACTTTGTTGAGTCCTGGTTGCTGCAAGGTATACAGAGCGTGAAGATCCTGAGAACAATCAGGGCCGCTTGCCTCCAGCAAGTCCCGTGAGATGTGGGCCCTGAATCACCCAGACCCGTGGCATGTGCAAGTCTCTGCTCACAACTGTACGATTGGAAGAAGGCCAGTCAATTGCAGAACAGCAAGTGAGGTGCTTCGGCTCGTCAAGCTTCTGCGGATTCTCAAGGCCATGGTCTGTGGTGTGCCATCCAAAGCTGCACCTTCCGAAGCAGACTCTAGTGCGATCCGGTCCGCATGCTGTAAGATCTGAGTGGACTTGCGTTGCGTCTCTGTAGCTTTCAGGCCAGCCGAATGGTGAAACGCTGGGAGAATCGCATAGCGCTGAAGAGTACGACTCCTTGCTGATGTTGATATACCCATAGCATCCATCCCAAGTCCGTGCAGTCACAGGCGCAGCTGTACTTGTAGCAGTCCTTGATTACTCACAGAGAGCAGTCTCGACAATGGCCAAGTACCTTCAACATGACACGCCCAAATCTGGAGCAGTAGCGGTAGCAGGTAGCAGATGGTAGTAACATGTCAACAAGCGAAAGGTGTTGGATAGATAGATATTGCAGCGTTTGCTCATGTCGAGCACAGTCTTTGAATTCAGCTCTGTGGGCGTGAGGGTGGTATTCCCAGAACTACGAACGGGATAAGGGGAAAACAGTCGGGAGTAAACGCGCGACACGTTTATGTGCAAGCGGCCCACTAGCAGATCATGAAGTAGGAGTTGCGCACGGGCTGTAGAATCTTATGGGGCGGGCACAAGATGTTTCGCCATTCCTGAACACCGAGGAACCGAGAATAGTCCAGCAGAGACATGAGGGCAGCTTTGAAGAAAAAGCCACCATCTGTCCAGAAAGGGCAGGATGATAGAACAGCAGAGAGGCAGCAACCGTCATCCGAACTCCCTCCTACAGCAGCAGCCAAGGAGCCTGTACTTGATAAAGTTCGCGGTGTTGATCATCCTCTCGTGCCACTGGATGGTTGCTTTGCCTGCAATGCTTTAGGTTACCCTGAGCTGACTCTCCACCGCTTCAGCGGCAGAGTCCGAATTGCGAGTGTGCACTCTTGAGAGAGTCTCAGCCCTGGTGTGTCGTTCGATGGAAGCCTCGAGTGGACAATGAGAGTCTCAGTAGAAGTACAAGCTCGGGGGAGTCGAGATGGTACTTTTGACTTGCGCTGGTATTCGATTGTATTCAGTATATTTGGTTGGTCTGGTTGGATTTTGAGTTGCTGAGTTGGCGTGAATGTGTGCGTGGCAGTGCCGAGGCTCCGACTCGAGAGACTAATCCCTATGCGATTTGACCTCACAAAACGGACCTAGCTCGCCCGAAGTGTCCTAGCATGAGGGTCGAAGCTCTTAGAAAACCAACCCACCCTCAAGCATCGTGCCTGGCTTGTCCAGAGTGAGCCCCGAAGCCCTGAACACGACTACAGCAGGCTTGTGTCTGGGGTTTCCTGGGCCTGCTTGAAGGAAGCATGCTGCCGCCTGGATGCAGAGGGTGCAACATCTAAGTTAGGGTTCAAGATTTGGGGGAGCTTCCTAGTCCAGACCAGACACCTCAGATTGCCGGTCCTGTATGAGAGAGATTAACCCCGAGGGGTTGCAGATGCTCCATGTGTTTCTGAGCAGACGACGAAGGGGAGAGGTCAGATAGGTCATGGCTTGGCGCCAACTAACGGGGCGAGCTGAGGAAATGTAAAGAAGAGCTGCCACTTAGCTGCAACTACGTTTGCCGCGACGCGACGTGCTGGGAGCCTGTTCTCATTGGATGAAAAGCACCCGTGCCTGGCAGCCCCAGTGCCTCGTGTCAGAGAGCAAGTCTTAGCTCTCAGTCGTGTGCGGAGGCTGCGTGACGGAGATCCAGATGGGCTTATGGCAGCAAACCCTGACGCTTATTACTTTTTCGAAGAGCGCACAGGTACCCCGATGTTTGTAGTCTCACTTTCATGCTGGCTGCTGTGCCGTGTATCGTCATGCACCTCGTGCAGGCGATGCCTACAACCCTTCTCAGTGGATGGGCGACAGCTGGGTGGCCGCTTGGCGTGTTGTGGTGGTTCAGTTTGCCAGGAAAGGGCATTCCCACTGCAGACCCATCCAGTGATTGGCGCACAGACGCTTTTGATGACGGGACTCCAAGCGGTGCCCAGGGTGCCAAGAAAGCCTCCAGCTTGCCACTTTCGAGCTTCCCAAGTTCGTGAACCATAATTACAGGGCCCACAGAGAGACTTGAAAGCAGCCGTTCGCCAAACACCGGAAGGCAACCTCCTGCAAGTGGAGTCCTTCTAAATTCGAGTGCATGGACTTGGATCTCGGCCCCGGCATCAGTCCATCCCTATACGCCTGATTCGTAGAGTCTAACTGATTGCTTTCCCCGAGGTGAGGTGGGCAGCTGGTCGCGCGGCGAGCTCTCCAACCAATCCCTGTGACACCGGCAGCCCGCAGTGCAAGCCGAGGAAACGGGACTGGAGGTAATCAGTCAGTTCAGCATCGTTCCGGAAGGGGCTTTCCGTCGACTTCTTGCAGGAGTTGTCAATTCCTCGCGGGTGCTGCCAGTACAGCTGACTAAGGCAATGTCTACATTGCGGCCCTTTACTGGTGAGGAACCCAGGTTGTTTGCTGATGCTGTTCATGCACAGGAGCTCAGTCATCGCTGTACTATAGTGTGTATTGCCATTAGTGCTCCCAGCCACCTCTGTACATCGTCATCATCGCTAGACATGACAAGCAAGAACGACAGCAGCGCAGCTCGCGCAATAACGCAGGTTTGCACAAGAGTGCTATTACAGCCATGTAGATCACTGCATTTGTACAACAAGGGGCAGCGACGGAGCTGCACAGCACCCTGCGGGAAATAAGGTCTGTGATGACTATGACATCCGAGCCTTGTCAGAAACAAGGTTGTGCAGCGAATGAAGTGTCGCGTTTGTAGTTTCCTGGCTTTTCATCATGATGTTATGCTGTGTTGCGAGGGTGAGAGGCCGCTGTTCGGAAAGGTTGGCTATGGAGATGTCCTCCCGTACACCCCAGCAGAATACCTGGTGTGCACCTCCTGCCTGGCCCTCGGTGTCACCTGGTTCTTGCGGTCTGATCTACAATGCTGAATCCGGGCTAGGCATGATGATCAGCTCCATTGTCTGGGCCTACATCATCGGCGCCGCCTGCGCCGTGATGTCGAAAATGGCAGCTCCGGCTGCAGGGCCTTGTGCTATGCAGGGGTGGGGGACGGGGCAGCGGTGTGACATTGGATGAGTCGTTCTGGGTGTTCGACTCTTGGGCCTTGCAGCCGAGGACCCTGAGCTGAGCGAATTTGAGCGGAGGCCGATCTTTCTATGACCGTGGGCTTCTGTGCAGTGACAGCGACATGAAAAGGAGTGTCAATCCGACACGTTGTGCAGGATTGACGATTTCAATGCCATGGCTCACGACCAGGACTTGAGAGCACCATGCAGTGCATCATGGGAAACAGTTGCTCTTCACTGATGGGCATGAAATGATACTCGGATAAGGATATACAAATAAATGCACTGCTGTCGATGAGGTTCGGTACGATTGCCATTAGCATTATAAAATGCTTATGCAGGATTTGTTGCCATGACCATGTCATTATGTTCGTGCTGTTGTATTTGCTGCTGCTGTTTCTGTTTCTTCGCCGCCGGTAGCCACCAGTTGTCGTCATGTGCCTTATTTTCAGAGAAGTAGTGTTGACCGACGTTGTTGTTCTTGTCATTGCATTACATTGTTCACTTCATCTTCTTCCAGTCGTGGCCAGTAGTCCTCGCACCTAGTCTCTACCTATAGTCTCCATTGTAGTTCCTTTTTTGGGGATACCTTAAAAGATCCTTAATATATAGTTGTTTAAACCAAAAAAAGGAACTACAATGGAGACTATAGGTAGTCTCTACAGTGTGGAGGACCAGGATGGCTCTGCTGTTGCGCCCGGTTTCCGCGTGTTTTCTGTCCGCCCTAAACGCGAGGATCTCCCGGGCCACATCCGGTGGCGTGGACGTGAGTTCATTCGATTGCAGGCTGCACTTACAAGCTTTTACCAGTTTTTTCGTTAGTTATATATATATATATTTTTTTTTTAACAATTTTTTAGTTATATATATACACGGAAGAATGCGTTTGTGTATGTGGTGTATGTGTGTGTTTCTTTGGGCAGGGACCGCTTCAGATCGCTCAATGCTGACCAAGGAGAGCAGCGATTTCACATGCACTACCTCCGAAATATCGTGGCTTGGGCACGTTGCATTTTGAGTTCTGAGCCTTGAAGCCGAGCGTGGACCACCGAACTCACGTCTCTTCCTGAAGAGTGATACTTTCTGAGCCAGGATGCTTGGGAAGGGCTCGGAGCTGACCTGCGGGGCACTGTGGCTCGACAGATGGCGTGGCTCGGCCTCGATCTCTCGTCATCTCGGTATGTCGGAGGTCAGACATCCTTAGACCAGGTGTCTTCTTGCCCGTCGGATGATTGAACTGCTTGCTGCTCTGCCAATGAGGTCGCACTACATCAACCACATTTGGTTCTTTAAAGGCGGCCCTCGTGGAGCACTTTTGCAGAAGATGGAAAGAGCCAAGATGCCTCTGCCGAGTTGGGGTAGCCGCAGACTCCTAGATTCCTAAATGTCCCCATTCCGAAGCACCAACAGCTTGTCATGCAGAGAGTACGCGAGAGACATAAACTGTTTATGTCTTCTGAACGATGTAGCAGCATCACGGTGCCAGGAACCAAAGCCCAATTTCGGGAGGACTGTGCCAAGAACTTCGCCACTCTCTCGCATCGCAATGAGCATTTTCACCAAGTCGTTTGGCATTTGGGTGCTCCGCGCCAAGCTGGCCTGCCTGCCAAGGTGCCCATGTTCTACGAGCGCCGCGAGGTCATAGAAAAGCCCCAGCAGCTTTGGCCTCAGCTGCCCTGGAGATCATTGGCCCAGGCTAGCTATTACAAGTTCAAGTCTTGCACTACGAACCCAAGTTGTGTGGTTGCACAGGCTTACGAGAAGAATAGAATACATCTACAATCATTGCGCTACATCATTCACAGTTATGGTTTATAAGTAAAAATAGTATCAGTTACTAGGCTTGGTGCACCCTGGAGTCCAATGCCGACTGAGCCAGGCTCAACGTGGTCGAGCGCGGGGCTGTGGGACGTCTTGGACGAATTCTGGTGCCTTGGGGCTACTGGGGCGAGGACCGACCTGGGAATTGGGGTTTTATTGCGATGATTCTTTCTGAGTGTAATATAGGGGCCTTTACTTATCAAAATAGGGTTTTGGGGCCCACTATCACTAGACTAGAATTATATTAAGGACCCCCCAAAATAGTATGGGTAACTATTTAGGCCCCTACATTGTCTGCTGCGTAAGCCAAAGCAAGAAAACGCATGACCGGCCATGTTGTATCGTTCATTCTCTTCTCGGCACACTCCCGGTGTGGTGCGGTTGTGGCCCTGACAAAAGCTGACCTTGCGAGGACATGCTGATCCGAATGGCAATGCTTCGCCAGGACGGTGGTGTGTCTGTCGACTTCTTACTAGGAGTGAAGGACACAGGAACACCGGAATAGGAAGATCGTGCCATCTTGAGCCGGGAAAGATGTGTAAGATAGGTGCAATTGGGGGGGGCAACATCTCCAGTCAGCTTAACTACATCACTCCTTATGCGATCCCACTTGCCTGCAGGACAGCTCAGCCATGGCTCTCACCTACACCGCTACCGGGCCGGAATTCAGAGACTGCTCCTGTGCCCAGATACCCCGCAGGCTCGTTAACGCATTGAAGCATCAAGAGCAGGCTGACAATCTCATTGAGCTCAGGAAATTATGTCCCTCAGCCGCGACTCGCTGTCGCACGTCCTCTTGGACTTCCCGGAGGTGGCATGCGATTTCTGATGTGACTAGCAGTGTTCTGCGGATCAACAAAGTCATAGAGACCGAAGTAGTGCTGCCATTTCTGCCAACGTGTCACTGTTGGCCCGCCTGAGACTGGAAACTGTGGTAATTGTCCCGTACGTGACATCTGCGACTTGGTCTGCTTTTGCCCGACCGTCTGTGAAGCTAGGCAGGCAGCCAAACCCTTTCGCAAACATGCTCGCTACCTTCCCGGAGCAATCATACGCATGATGATCGCAGCAAGCAGTGTGTAGATGTGGGCAGCGACTTCATGCAGGAACAGATGCGCTTCCGAAAAGCGGCGACGTTGATGGTGACTGCCCAAGTACTTGCAGCATGTGCTTATGGCTCGCAGGACTTGGTGCGTGTTGAGCCACCTACCACATACACATGCATATTTATGTGTATTTCTGTCTGTCCGTCTGTCTGTCTGTCTGTCTGTCTGCCTGTCTGTCCGTCGATGTGTCTGTATGGATGTATGGCTGTGTTGTCTGTAATGTCTCCTGTCTGATTGTCTGCCTCTATGTTCCGGATATACGGATTCCATGAATGAGTGCATCGCCGCGTCGTCAGGAATAAAAGGGCGTTAGCAATCATCTCACTGTCAGGGCGGATGTTTGACAATGTTTTGCTTCGAGTGCACGGATGTTGCACAAGAAGCACGGACGTCAGACAGTGCCATGCTTGCTTGCTCCGAGGCTCTCTTCGCAGTTGCAAAGATTTACCGAGTGGAGCTTTCCGCAGATGCAGAGGAACGAGATCCTCACAACCGTGTGAGCCTCAAGCAAGCTCAACATCTCGTTCACATCGACGGAATTCCAGGTTAGGTGCTGCGTACAGCCTTTTTGGCTAGTGACAGGGAAAGGCTGTGCGATGTCATGCGGGGCAGGTTTTGCAAGTAGCCCTTGCAGATGGTTTCAAAAGATTGCAAAAGCCAGGCTGGATCCATGACGTCTTTGAGACGGCACGCAAGGTTGGACTGGAGGATGACGGGACATGGAGTGCTAGCCCTCGGCGCAAAGATTTCAATCGAAGAGTGGCTTCGAGCTACTTGCAATCTGTGTCAGAGTCATAGATTCACCTCCCATTCTAATGCAAAGAAGGAGGTGCGATGATGCGTGTGATGCTGGCCATGGCTCTCGTTGTTTTTGTCATCATGGTTGGCAGTGCTGAAGTCTTGTGGGATCCACCAGGAGCTCACGCCGATGAAAGCTGAGCAGATCATGCACAATTTGCACCATGGTGGTAACAGTGTTCAGTGACTCCGGGGTTTCGGGGTCGGCATGTAAGTCTTTTGTGCCTAGAGTCCCATGAAGTGTTTCTATCTAGGGGTATACAGACTCATGACTTCAGCGTCTGTCGTTACATAATTTTTCTCCTGGGCACATGTTCGGTTCAGGGTTCGGGAAGGATGTGGGACTCTGCCTGTTTGAACTTCTCACACCGAAAGAAATTTGGTGATACTGTACGGATCCTACACTAGAGATGTGGGTAGTCGGACCTCAAAAGAAAGCCTGTTTGTGAATATACTCGTGGTTGATGGTTTCTACGCAGCTAGTACGTGTAGCTAGACGAGGAGGAGGAGGAGCAGGAGGAGGAGGAGGAGGAGGAGGAGGAGGAGGAGTAGTACGTGGTAAGTAGTAAGTCGTCGGTAGCCAGTAGCCTATAGTCAGTAGTAAGTGGTAAGAAGTAAGAAGTAAGCAGTAAGTAGCAATAGTACGAAGTACTTGAGTTATAAGTAATAAGGAAGTGGTAAGTAATGAGAAATAAGAAACGAGTAGTAGGTAGTAAGTTTTAGGTAGCGAGTCATAGATAATAGTTAATGAGTAAATAGTAAGCAGCAAGTAGCAAGCAGCAAGCAATAAGTAGTAAGTCGTAAGTAGTAGCTGCTACTAGCATATCTGCTGTTTGTCACTTGTAGCCCTTCGGAGCTGTCATTGCATGTCAGGTGGGTAACAAACAACAACAACAGCAACAGCAACAGCAACAGCAAAAGCAACAGCAACAACAACAACAACAACACCAGCAGCAGCAGCAGCAACAACAACAACAGCAGCAACAACAACAACAACAACAATAACCACAACAACAACAACAGCAACAACAGCAGCAGCAGCAACAGCAACAACAACAACACCAACAGCAACAGCAACAGCAACAACAACAACAACAACAACACCAACGGCAACAGCAACAGCAACAACAACAACAACAACAACGACAGCAACAGCAACAGCAACAACAACAACAACAACAA